TTAATGGCTACAATAACTGAAAAATTTAAATGAAGAGATGGTCACATACATGTCTAGATGAGGGTTGAAATGACGACTCCAAGTACTTTATCTCTGTTTCTTTGCTTCACCTGTCCATGGCTCCATCCTCAAATGATATTATGCTTTGTGATGGTAGGATGTCTGACCGAGGTCACAGGCTCAAGTCTAGTCAAAAGAGTGAGGTTCTCTTCTATAGAAGTCCCAGCAAAGTTTCACTGGCTCTGATCAAGTCATCTGAACCAGTTATTCTGTGGAATACTCTGATAGATCGAGCCTGAGATTTATATACTGCAAGTGTCAATTCCACTTAGAAGCTCAAAGACCCAGCATGTGAAGGAGCGTGGTTCCTCAGAAGGGAGTTGGGTATGAATACCAAAGGAAAGATATGGAATGCATACTAGATAGAAAAACCCAGAGAAGTTCAAGACACCTTTTATAGTGTAGGGATTGGAGGGCCACCAATGGCTTTTAAGCCATGGAGTGACATGACCAGATTAGTATTTAAGAAGAGAACCAACCTAATGTGGAGTATGGATCAGAGGTCTGTGGCTGAAGGCAAAGGGTCAGCTAAAAAGGCTTTTACTAGTCCAGGGAAGTGATGATGAGTATATGAGTGAAACCTCAGGACTAGGAATGAAAAGGTGCAATGACTCAGAAATGTACAGGTAAGGTCTAGAACCATAAGAATTTTATGCTCAGTGAATTCAGTGGGGAAGGGAAGGAAGACTTCCAGAATGTGCTTTAGGTTTTGGCTTTGGAGCCAATATGGATAGGGATACCCTTTATGGAAAGTGGAGCTACAGAAAGTGAGAGGAAGGTATAAAACAGCTACCATGGTAATAGCTGACATCTAAAATGAATTTATGGCTAGGATAACTTTCACAGAGTGGCAGAGAAAAAGTATATTCAGAGCTTAAGGATTTTTTTTTCACCACAAACGTTACTCATAATGATAAATTATCTGGATATGCCCTTGGCATGTACAGATACACAGAAATACATGTGTCCTATGAATGTATAAGACAGTTACACATGTTCTTGTACATGCAGGTTTGTATTAGCCTCACTCTTTCCTTTTTTTTTGGTTTGTTTTGCTCTTTTATTCTCACTTGTTCTGACTACATGCTCTTTTTGTCTTCGGACTATCTTTGTAAGTGGCTTTAGATCATTCTGGAATGAGATGGTATCTAGTAAATAAATAATTCTTAATGCATATTCATTCCAAGTCAACCCTTACAAAGAATGATTGGAATGAGGCTTGGAATATTTTAAACCAAAATTGTTCTTGTATTTCCTTTCCATAAATATCCATAAATGTGGATACATTGCATTTGTCTTTTTTTTAAGGAGTAAAAGACACCTGCATTTGTTTAAAAGTTTATCACTTCAACACTAAAATAACCTTTCATTATCAATGGTAGCTCTCTGATCCCCATCCCCATCCTACCAGGTATTTCAAAATGAAATTTATCTCTGGGCCTAGAACCAGCTAAAGAATTTTTAGTTTAAAAAGCTACTCAGCCAGGGCCGGTTTGGCTCAGTGGATAGAGCGTCGGCCTGCGGACTGAAAGGTCCCAGGTTCGATTCCGGTCAGGGGCATGTGCCTGGGTTGCGGGCACGTCCCCAGTGGGGGATGTGCAGGAGGCAGCTGATCGATGTTTCTCTCTCATCGATGTTTCTAGCTCTCTATCTCTCTCCCTTCCTCTCTGTAGAAAATCAATAAAATATATTTAAAAAAAAAAGCTACTCAAAATAGGCTTTACAATGAAAGAAACATTTAAAAGATAAGCAAGTAAACAATGTCCACAAAATGAATGCATTAATGGGTCATGCTAAAAATATTTAAATTACATAATAATCATGTGGGTCATGACAATCAACAATAACTTCTCCATTTCCAATTTCTCCAGCAAATTTCATAGTCTTCAAAGGGCCCATGTTTTCATGCTCCCCAGATTAGCTTCTTCTATTGGCTGTTTTCTTAAACATTTTCTAGCCTGGAATCCCAGGTTCAGGTATTATCTAGAGGCAGGTGACTATCTCAGATCACCTTTGCTCAGTCTTCTTTGTCTAAGAGTTATGACTTTGTCTTGACCCATGTCTTGACTCATAAAGAGAAGAACCAGGGAACAAAAGATGGGAGGCAGAAGAAGAAGATGAAAGCAAGATAGATCTGGAAGATGGGACCATTGCCCTCACACACAGCTGCTTGGTAATTAGGTATTTCACCTGGGATAATGATTGCACCCAGCTTGGGAACACACAGGGGCTCCACATCTTCTCATGAATAAAGTCCCCCACCCACAGGTTGGCCATCTTGCAAATATGGCCCATGGATTCTCACTTTTATTATTTGTCCCATTATTACCTCTGTCTAAAGTGCTCTTTCCCTCAATTTGGCTACTCCAAGTCCCATCCATCACTTCAGGCCCAGGAAACAGAGATTTCCCTAGCTCTCCTCTCTCATCTCTGAATTTGGAAGTAAACATCTCCCCCTGAATTAATTCCTTCCACAGCATTTTGTTTCTATCTCCAGTTTAGCACTTACCATATTTTAGCATGTTTGTTTTCAGAATTCTAGGTATTGTGTGTGTGTGTGTGTGTGTGTGTGTGTGCCATTTCCTTTCTTGGGGCTGTGCCACATTCACCTTTGTCTTCTTTCATCTTCAAAGAGCCCACCATGGTGATTCACACATAGAAAACATTAAAATTTTTTATTAAATGAATAATCAGAGAGAGGAATGCATGGAAGGAGGATTAGAGAATACCAAAAGGAAGAGAATAAGGGAGGGCTATTACTACTAGTAGAGAGAGTGGAAGATGACAGAATTATGGGTGAAATTAGCTGAGGGATTGCAGCTCAGTGGAGAACAAGGGGTTGACACTAAGAGAGTGTGGGATAGGGAGGTGTGAGACTTGGAAGGAAAGCTGTTTGCTCAGATGTCTGGTCTCTCTCCCTCTTCTTCTTGCTGCCTCCTCCCATCAACTCACTCATAAATAAGTGGACATTTCCTATGCTTTATCTGAATTCAGTACCCAGAAAATCCATGAGACACAATGTCGTCACCACAGTGTAAAAGCTGTGAAAGCTAGGAAGACAAATATTTGTCTTGGGAAACTATCAAGCTAACAGATTTAGAAGAATGACCTACTGGCTGGTCTCAGTAACTTGCTTCTCTTTTTTGCCAGTACGCCTCCCAGGCCTTCTCTCTCCCCTTCCTGATTGCAAATACCAATGGTGTTTTGAGGATGGAATGGGGAGAATGCCACCACTGAAGTCCTTGTTTTCTTTGCATACCTCCCATCTACTTAAAGACATACACCTTAGCATGCATAATGCTTCTCCATGTTTTCTGGTTTCCATTTAACCAGTCTGTTTGCCTTGGTGCTCATCACACTGAATTGTGACAGTATATTCATCACACACTAGCCTGGTATGAAGGTAGGGACTTTGTCTGAACTTGTTATTACATCTGACCCAGCATCATAGTGTCTGGTTTATACAGGCTTAGTTAAAGAGTTGTTGAATAAGGGGAAGAAGAAGAAGAAAGCTAAAATTATGAACAATAAAATGGCAATAAATACATATCTATCAACAATTGAATCTAAAGATAAAAATAAATGAATAAGAAATCTAATGAACAAAATAAAGTGATGAATAAAATAGAATCAGACCCATGGAAACATGGAACAGACTGATTAATCTCAGAGGGAAGGGATAAGGGGGTGTGGGAAGAGATTAACCAAAGATCTTATATTCATACTAGTGGCCTAGTGCACGAATTCATGCACATTGAAAGAAAATTAATTAGAAGAAATACTTTAATATCACTATTCGCCCTTTCTCTATAATAGAAGTGTCAACCAAATTCATGATCAACAATGACAGATGGAAACACATGCGTGTGATTGGCTCCAGAGAGAGCTTTATATGTATCATGCATGCTTGAGTCAACTTACCTTTTATGGATATAGAACCAACTTGCTTCATGAGACCTGCTTTCTGATGTAGCTAAACTTTTTCCAGCCCAGTGAAGCACCCCAACTTCTCTTTCAGGTAATTGTCAGCAACACAGCAGTCAATATCAACCAATGCAGATTATTATTGTAGATCACACAGGGAGAACAAAGGGTAAAATATTAACAAGTAACTGCAGCAGTGTTGGACTATACTAGTATTCTGCACAGTGAGAAAAACCTGAAGTCATTTTCAAGGTCCACCATTTCTTACTTTGTTTCAGTAAGTTTGTTTCCAAACTTTCTAAATCTCTGTTTTCTGGCTAATGAAAAGAAAATAGGATTCCACCAAGTCTCCTATCTACCTACTCCAGGACTTCTGTGAGGATCAAATGAGATGAGGCAAGGGAAAATGCTTCACAGACATTTGGTTATAGTAAAAATTGTTTCCACCTGGCTAAAGTGTTCCTGGGCTGAAGAAACTGTAAGGAGGCTAGTCGTTGCTAGGGAGAAGAAGCTGGACGTTGCTATGTGACGTCATTACCTGGATGGAGGGAAGGACACTTAATATATTAGCCTTTAAATAGATAGATATGCATTATCTATGGACATAGACAATAGGGTGGTGAATGCCTGGGGTGGGGCGGGAACTGGGTGGAGGGAGGTATTGGGGGGGGCAGAGAGGGTGACATCTGTAATACTCTCAACAATAAAGATAAAAATAAAAGAGTTGTTGACTAAATATACAGGGTGGGCAAAAGTAGGTTTATAGTTGTGTCCACTTTTGAATACAATACTTAATAAATACATAATAATACAAGAATAAACCTTGTGTTTCACGTACAAGCACGAAGGAAGAAATAATAAAAAAGAAAATTATGACTTCACTTTAAATTGCTTGACATTCCTCAGCATCACTTACCTTTGGTTTCTGACTAACTATAGCGTTTGGAGAATTATCAAAGATTTTTGTCAGGGATGTTATGATTCTTTTAAATAACAGGCCAAAATGTGATTTTATAAAGATTTAATGAGACATTATCATTGCCGTCTGGTCTGATCACTCAGGGAATTTAATAAAAAAAAATTGTTAACATCGTCTTGGATTTGTTTAAATATTTATGAACACTGCTTTCAAGAGAATTCATATCTGGGGTTATTGTTTTATATCATTCATCTTGGTATGGTTTCAATAGTTTGGTGGATCATCTTGTTTTAATAATAAATGTCGCTAGAGCTGTCTGTAAATACTCTGGAATCGGAGCGGGAGTCTTTGGATCTCATTGCTGTGTATTCCACCTTCCAGGGCCCCTTGATGAAATCAAAGTGTCTCCCACAAGGATTCTGGAACCTGCTGGTCAGCAGTCCTGGTCACAGCTCGTCGTCTTCTGATATGGAATCTAGGTAATCTGTGTCAACGTACAGGAGAAATCCGGAGAACAAGCTGTCTGCCCAACCTGGGTCTGAGAAGAGGCCATTCTGGTCATTGAAGAAGATCTCCAGCCAGACTTCATCTTCCGGCTGCAGATAGATGACTGTGGACCCTGAAGCCACATCATGGTTCCCTGTGTTGGCGTCGAAGGTCTTTATCCGGTACTGCCCGTTGTGCACCAGCCCGATTGCCAGATGCTTATTGGCCAATGTGATATCATAAGAAAAGTAGTAGATTCCCGGGAAAGCACAGATGAACTTCCCTGTGGCAGGGTTGTAGTGTTCTCCCTCATTGAAGAGGACCTTGTTAAATATGATCGGTAGCCTCTCTTCTGGGTAGCTGGTGGTGATGCCAACAGAAAAGGCAGATTTGAGCACGATGCTTCCACATCTACAAACTCCAGGCAGCCCTGGGTCCCCTTGCTCTCCTCTGTCTCCCTTCGGTCCAGCAGGCCCAGCTGGACCAACTTCTCCTTTCTCACCCTCTGGTCCCATGGGTCCCTTCTTCCCCGTTTCTCCTTGGTCCCCTTTCTCTCCAGCAAGGCCCAGCGGTCCAGTCTTACCTCTCAAACCTTTAAAAAGAGTTTAAACTTTAATTAATGGTTCCTCTAAATACAGAGTGACAAAAAGCATGCCCACATAGTCCCAGCATACCATACATTAATCTTTTCAGACAACTTTCAACTGTGTACTACTAAACAATGATTTTTAAAAAAATCTGAATCACTATAATGGAAATAGAAAAATTTCATCATAATTTCAAGTAAATTTTCCTATGTGAGAAATCATTTCATTCTGACTAATTAAAAATATTTAACTATCATTCTGATGATGGATTACCTGTCACTAAATTAGTTACATTATAGGTACTCATTACTACAGAAGGAATTTAAGGAGAATGATGGTGATATCATTCTTCAGAGTGAAGTCATGGGGGCAGACAGAACCAGGTGGATCCTGAGAGGCAGTTCTCTCTCATGCCTCATCCTACTATTAGTATTAATAATAAAAGAATTCATCAGAAAAGAAGAAGAAAATAAATAAATGAAAAAGAATTGAATGAGATTAGCTCATATTTATTGAACACTTGCTATACATCAGGAACAGCATTTTATTTACATGTATTATCTTCTTCAAGATTTGCGACAGTTTTATGAGCTAGGCATTATTATTATTACTTCCATTGTAGATGAAGAAACCTAGCCATGGAGAAGTTCATTTGCTCAAGGAGATAGAACTAGTGAGTGACGGAGCTATGACCTGAACTCATGCCTGCCTGACTCAGAAGCGTGAGCATTTCTGTGGCTAGAGTGTGAATTGTAAAGGGCTCCAGGCATAGTGAGGGCTCACTATGCTACAATAACCCAACAACAGTGACTGCCACACTGTGCAGTAAGTCTTTTATGGAGGAGAAAACTGAACCCAAGAGAGATGAAGCAAGGACAGGACTGGAATCCAAGTCTCAGTCTACTGATGCTTCCCCTTCATCAAAATGCCTCTTACCTTTGGGGCTGGAATCAAGAATCCTAAATTTGATTTGGCTCTACAGCTAAGGGCTGTATCATTTTAGGCAAGTCCTTTAATTTCTCTGGTCTCCTTACATATAGAAAAGACATAGCAACTGTGAAAAGATTTCAACAAATTGAAAATCACCATAGAGAAATATTTTCTGTTTGCCCAATGTTTTATGTCTACAGATCAACCATCAGCTAAATGCAGAGAAATAGTGATCATGGCTTGAAAGTGATAAGCAACATCTATTTAATTTTTAAATCGTATGTGTAATAGCAATGACTTAATAGCATAAAAAAGGTCATCCAATTTTATAGCCAAATCCATTCCATAAAAAGTGCTTATGTAATGGTACATTCTCAAAAATATCCAAATTATTTGGATATTTGTAATGTACTTTGTAGTCAGGGAAAATATATTGTTGATATATTGTGTAGTTTATTTTCAGGAACTTATATTAAACTAAGCCTTTTTATCTTGATAGTGCTTTGATAGCATTTTTTTCAATATATTACATATGCACTGGTGTATGAGTTTGATCATTTTCAGTTATTTGGCAAATTTAGCAATAAAGTGTTCTGGATAATGTAAATTTGAAAAGAATTAAAGCTTTACTCTTAAAACATCAAATATTTTGTTTCTATAATTTTGTAAAGACACTGTTTGACAATTTATGGTGCACAAAAGATGCTAAAAATGAATGCATTTTTTTGGTGTGTGAGACCAGCATTATTACTGATCATAGAAGTGTTCTCCAGCTATAGATGACATGTGTTCTCTTTTTTCTTTTCTTTCTTTCTGTCTTTTTAAATTCTTACCTGAGGATATGTTTTTATTGATTTTAGAGAGGAAGGAAGAGGGAGAAGAAGAGGGAGAGGGAGGGAGGGAGGGAGAGAGGGAGAGAGAGAGAGAAACATCAATTTGTTGTCCTTGTTTGCACCCCAACCAGGGATCAAACCTGAAACCTGGGCATGTGGCCAGACCAGGAATCAAACCCGTGACCTTTCAGTATGGACGATGCTCCAACCAATTGACCCTCACTAGCCAGGGTGACATTTGTTTTTAAATTGAAATTCCACTGACTCCAGCCAGAACACAATCTGGTATTTATTTCTTGAATAAGGCTACAATAGTTTGACCTCTCAATGATTACTTGTTTTTGATAGATGTATAATATAAATATTATTTGGTTAATAAATTAACTTTGGAATCAAAGACAACAACTTATAAGTTGTTATTTTATTTTCAATAGAAGCTCAACTTTTGTTGTCTTCATCAGTGACTTTTGGTGCATTAATTAATAAAACCCCCACACATTTTGGCATCAGTAACTATTTGACCATTAAATTTCATTATGTACTCAAATCCTTTTGCCTCTTTTGCCTTTGAACAAGTCAATTCTTGTCTGAGTTCCAAATACTCCATTTGTACTACAAAGAAACTAGATCCAAATCCACTCCAAATCTGGTGGGAAAAGCAGTAAACAGTGACTAAGCAGACCAGGGATAAAACCCTAGTTCAGCCAGGAATTAGGTGAATTTGACAAAGGGGCTTCATCTCTCTGACTTTAGTTACCCAGACCTTGAAATGAAGGTGTTGGATTAGATCACTTGAGGTCTCATCCCATTGAAAATTCTTTGAGATCAAACCATAAATACTAAGATGCAATTTTACAATGAAAAGGTTGTCACAATTTCAATGTTTGGATTTTCTGTAGTTGTTTACTATTCTCAACTGCTGGGAGTTAGATAATCAGGGACTAGCTGTAATAATTTATAGTAATTCTTCCTGTTCACATCACAGATTTGCCCCTGTGCTAAGGACCAATGAATGAAGAATAGAAAGAAGGGATAGATCATTCTCCATCTCCCTATTCAGGCAGATATATGACTGTACAGAGAAGAGAATTATGGAGAAATTATTATCTATGCTTAAGTACTAAAGCTTGGAGAGAAAGGATTTCTACTCAACTCTCCATGATATGGGCTTACAAATATTTTTTTCAGTGCCATTTCTTTCTTTCTTTCATCCATCCATCCATCCACCCACCCACCCACCCATCCATGGATTTATGCATGCATGCATCCACCTGAACCATCTAATGTTTATTGACCATCACTGCATGCCAGGCACTGTATTAGGGCTAAGTGAGACCTTGACATGAACGACACCTGCTCTACTTTCAAGGTAGCTATTATTACATACTAGTAGCCCGGTGCATGAAATTCGTGCACATTAAAATGGAATTAATTGCCCTAACTGGTTTGGCTCAGTGGATAGAGCATCAGCCTGCGGACTCAAGGGTCCCAGGTTCGATTCTGGTCAAGGGCATGTACCTTGGTTGCAGGTACATCCCCAGCAGGGAGTGTGCAGGAGGCAGCTGATCGATGTTTCTCTCTCATCGATGTTTCTAATTCTCTATCCCTCTCCCTTCTTCTCTGTAAAAAATCAATAAAAATATTTTTTTAAAAAGAGAATTAATTAGCAGAGATATTTTAATATTGCTATTTGCCCTTTCTCTATAATAGAAATGTGAGAGATGAAAGGAAATTAGTAAAATGTATATGAAAATCATATATAAATTTATTAATAAATAAACAGTAACAAAAGGATATAACAACAACAGAGGCATGATATAAAAACAACAGTGATGCAAACAATGACTGATAAAGTGATTAAACTTATTCTAATATCTCCCTGTACACCACATTAAGAGTGAAAACACTTTCAGAGTGCTTGACTAATTTCCCTTGTGATGAAGTACTTAGAACTTTAACTGTAACATCACAGGCTCTTCAAACTTGAGAGAAAGCAACATATAACTGACCATGTGCAAAAACGGGTTCAGGTAGGAACATGCCTACTCTGTCTAGAGTTTGTTCTTGTGATTTATTAATAGTCATCACAAAAGCTGGCATCACGGGAAACCGTCGTCGAATTAATTTAAATGGGAGGCCAGTGTCAGATGGGGACAAATTAATTCTTGGAATCAGAACAGCCTCTCCCTCTGCAGATCCTGTTAATACTTCAGCTTCGATAATGTTAGGTCATAATCTTTTGATAATAAATCTGGTACCATTACAAAGACCCCATTTACTATTGAGATTTCTCAATAGCATGATGATTGCAACCACTTTCAATTTTAATTTATGACACAGCATTCCCGAAGGAGTAATACTATTCAGAAATTCCATGGGGAAATTTTCCTTTGTTTCTTTGTTATGGGGTGGGGCCACAACATTAGTAACAAAGAAACAGAATTAAAACTTTATTGTGGGGAGCCGCTACAGTGTTTTGGACAGGTTCAAGCCTTGGACTGATGAGAGGGCACAGTCCTCTCATTGCCACGTGCAAGTCCCAGCTTGGAGGGCAGGGCCCTCCCAGCACAATTATAGCCAACAGCTGTAGTTGTAAGCTTGAACCTATGGTCCGAACACGTGGCCCCACGTGCCTGAGTGATGTGGGCTTGATAGAGTTCAGGTGCATGTAGTTGAGTAGGATTGAAACCCAGGAGAATGTTTGTAAACATCTTGGTCACGCCCTTACTTTGCCTCATAGCATCTGCTATAAAATAAAGGCATGGCTGTGGGTGTGGTCGCTGTCTCTCAGAGAAGCAGCGTCCCACCAAGACCCGGCTTTCATTCTCTTGTCTGTCTTTTCTCAGCCTTTCAGCTGCCCCACTCAGGTTCACCCGTGCTGGTGTGGCACACTTTAGAAAGATCTGCCTCCACCCTCCCAGGGCGGTTCCTGCCTCAAACTCTGCCCTTACAGGAAACAGCTCCGGGAAACAGCTTTGGGGAGGGCGCAGCCATTGCCAAGACAACCCCTGTAGGACTGACTTCCTTCCGCTCCGTCGCTGTTCATCTGTATGTGATGAACACCACCCATGGTTTTTATATAAGTAGATTATATTGTGATCTGCAAATATGGGTCTTAGCTAAGTCCATAAATATCCAAAACCATATAATAATCCAGAATTATCTATTTCATGAGGGGTGTCTAGTGTTATTTGAAGATATTTATGTGGATGTGCATTCAAATTACATTAAATGTTAATAATATGAGACAACAGTAATTGCTATCGACCAGTGAAGGAGACAAATATTTCAGCAGAAAATGTATAATTAAGTATAATAAGCTCTGTGCGTGTAATTTAGGATGGGGAAATTGGACCCAAACTATGCTTGATTCTGCATGCACTTGGTTGGGGTAAATGCTTGGGGATGATCACCAAGGGCACATAAATGAGAAGACCTTCATAGTGTCACTAAGTGGGAAGAGGGAAGAGAAGCTTCCAGCTGGGCTGTGTCCTGTTCAGCCACATTGAAAACATGTCCCCAAAGCCCCAGGGCTCTGTTCCTGCTATTTGTCATTGTGGTGTGCTCCTCTTCATTGATTACAAAGGTGTTCTTACTTTTCCTGTCTTAGCTGTCATATATCCTTATGCATGGGCATGTGGATATTGGATTTAAATAATCTCAGGCTGGGAAAGTAATTTTATTTTTAAATCTCCATTTTTCCCATTTGTAACATTATTGTTATTGCTGATTACAGTAATTGCTAAAAGGGTTATGGTGGACAGTAATTATTACATGTAAAATTTCTGATACATAGGTATAGTAAGTTCTCAGTAAATGCTTATGATGATGATGATTACATACAGGTTGGGGTAAAAGTAGGTTTACAGTTGTGAGTATGCAAAACATGGCTTATTCTTGTATTATTATTTTTTAATTATTGCATTATTTTCTATACAAACAACTGTAAACCTACTTTTGCCCCACCTGGTATTGTGATTGTGTTTTTCCATATTAGACTCCCATATCCAAATGTTTGCTTATTGAGGCAAGGACAACGTCATATTCAGGTTTGTGTTCTCTGTGTCTGGAACCATGTTTTCAATGAGAAGCAATTTCACATCACCCACCAAAGGAGTGTTAGGAATGTCTGGAGACATTTTTGGTTATCACAATTGTGGGGGTGACCCTCGTACCCATTGGGAACCTGCTGAAGGTCATACAGGATAGTCATCCACAGTAAATAATTATTCAGCCCAAAATGTCATAGGGTGGAGGTTATGAAACACTGGTCTAGAACAATCCTGAGTAGCAATAGGTGTGCAAAAAGCTTGTGGAGTGAATAACGCATGAGTGGATGGATGAATAAATGGATTGATGAATATGGGGGTGTAGTTGGCCACATGCATGGTTAAAATTGGAGCAATCATGAGCATTTGATTTAATCTGAATGCATATTCATAAACATCTTTAAATAACAATAGAACTAGCTTATAAGACAGATCACTCATTTCTAGTTAATTATGTAGCTTTGGATATTCACGAACTTAGCTATGACTCATATTTGCAGATCACAATGTCACATGTAATAGCAGCTAACATTTCCTGAGTGCTTACCACATGGCACTTATTCTATTGCATGTTTTACATGTATTATTGTCCTTAATCTTCACAATCACCCTTACTACCCCCTATTTACAAATGAGAACACTGAGGCTCAAAGAGGCTATTTGCCCAATGATACTAAGCAGTAACCGAAGGAGCCAAGATTTCAGCCTACTAGGTGTACCAGTTAATAATGCGGATTTTGTAATCAAAGAAAACAAAATAATTTCAAGAGAAATATCAAAAGTGCTTTATTCAAAGTAATATCTATCGCTAGCTACACATTTCTCTCTTCTTTCAGGTAATTTGTGGATACCGTTTCAATAGAACTTTTCTTGTTTTGAGGCAAACCATTCAGAGACCCAATTTTCCACTTCTTCGTACGTTTTGAAGTGCTGCTCAGAAAGCGCGTGTGCCATCGGTCAGAACAAGTGGTAATCTGAAGGAGCAAGGTCTGGTGAATACGGTGGTGGGTTAATACTTCCCAGGCAAGATCTTTTAAGGTGTCCTTAACTGGTTTTGAAGTGTGTGATGGTGCATTATCATGAAGCAAAATTACTTTGCCGTGTCTTCTGGCACATTCTGGTTGTTTCACGACCAAAGCGTGGTTCAAATTGATTATTTGTTGTCAGTAGCGATCAGCATTAACGGTTTCATCTGGTTTTAGAAGCTCATAATACACCACACTTTCCTGATCCCACCAAACGCAGAGCATTGTCTTCTTTCCAAAGCAATTTGGCCTTACATACAGTCAATGTTGATGGTTGACCTGGATTCTTTGCATTTGGGATTCTCAAAATAAATCCACTTTTCATCGCCAGTCACAATTTGATGCAAAAAAGACTTTCTTTCGTGCTGTTGAAGCAACATTTTACTGATTACTTTTCGGTTTTCCATTTGTCTTTCATTCAGTTGATGTGGCACCCATTTTCCTTCCTTTAAAATCTTTCCCATTGCTTGTAAATAGTAGGAAATTGTTTGCTGAGCAACGTTTAATCCTTCTGCAAGTTGTTTTTGAGTTTGACACGCATCTTCACCCAATCATGCTTGTAATTGTTGGTCTTCAAACTTTTTTGGTTGACGTGGATGTTCTTTGTCTTTCACATCAAAATCATCACTTTTAAAGCATTTAAACCAGCATTCACAAGTATCTTGAGATGGAACATGTTCACCATAAGCTTCACGAAGTATACAATAACTTTTTCTTCACAATAAAGTAATGAATTAAAACTTCCTGCAAATGCTCTTCTTTTTGGCACAAAATTCAAAATTTTTTGTTTTGTTTTGTTTTTTAATTTTTAATTTTGTTTTATTGCTTAAAGTATTACAGAGTATTACATATGTCTCCTTCCCCACCCCCTTGACATTCCCCCGGCCTCCCCTACCCCCCAGTGTCTTGTGTCCATTGGTTATGCTTATATGCATGCATACAAGTCCTTCGGTTGATCTCTTCCCCTCCTCCCAACCCTCCTCGGGGTTCCCACTGTAGTTTGATAGTCTGTTCAATGCTGCTCTGCCTCTGTATCTATTTTTGTTCATCAGTTAAAAGAAGGAATTTTTACCAATTTCAACAGCATGGATGGAACTGGAGAGCATTATGCTAAGTGAAATAAGCCAGTCAATGAAAGAAAAATACCACATGATCTCACTCATTTATGGATAATAAATTCAACATTTTTAAGCATAAAAATATTGATGATGTTAACACCTTCAGAAAATTTGACATATGAAGTTTTGAAGCTTGTCAATACAACAAAATAGCATACATATCAAATCGCATATATATCAACATATGTGTAACTCCATCTATTGAAAAAAATCCACATTATTAACTGGTACACCTAGTAAGTTTTTCTGACTCCAATGGATGTTTGTGTAATCACTACATTACTGCTTCCAGGCATAGCAAACTAAAAGTGTTGGTAATACCTAACTATGATCTTTGTGTTACTAAGGACATTCTTGATCATGACACAGTAAGTTGTGTCATGCTGTTGTATGAAAAGGTTTGAAAGATAAGATTGAAGCTCCCAATTAACAGTTCTTTATCTGATGTTGAACTTTCACCTAAAAATTCTTTATCTAATATGGGACAATATTCATGCATTCGGTAGCTACTGATTTGCCAAATATTTTCTGCATGACAAATTCAGAAATGAATACAGTGGGGCCTTGACTTATGAGTGTCCCGACTAATGAGTTTTTCGAGATACGAGCCATCTCTCGGCAGATTTTTTGCTTTAAGTTGCAAGCTAAAATTCGGGTTACGAGCCAGCTTCAGATACCCCACCGCTAGTTGGCGCAGCAAACGTCACAGTGAACGCCACAACATCAGCCCAGCATCATGTGTCTCACTCATTCACTTTAAGATTTGACATACGAGTAATTTGAGTTATGAGCTCCATCACGGAACGAATTAAACTCGTAAGTCAAGGCCCCACTGTAATTAGCCAGTAATTTGCATATATATTATATTGTTTCATATAACAGCACTAAATGAAGTGCAATAACTAGAGAGAGACACACTTCTTAGATCTATTGACATTTTGTGCCCATCCTTTGTCCCAACTTTTGGGTGAACACAGCCTCTCTAGAATTTCAATCCATTTTACTCTGAAGGGCTGGCAAATCTGGCAAGCTTCCTGGGACAAGTTATTTGTGGGGGGGAAAAGTGAAAATTACTGAAAGACGAGGGGACATTGTGTTGCTGTAAAGAGCTATAAGAAACCTATTTTTTCTCGCTTTTATAGGACAGAGAGATGAACCAGGAAATGTAGGCTACACGTTACCATTGTCATTTCATCTTTGGAAAAAAACCCCTGGGACCCCTTTATGTTCAGGATATTAGTGCAGAGCAGGAAGCATCAGGCTTTTGGCTCCTAATTCTGCCTCTGCTTCACCTCCCCTCCTGTTCATCTCTCTGTCCATCCATCACGCCCTCTTGCATGCAGGCATGACCTGCTGGATGTACCAGCCCCAGTGGTCATAGGCATCTGATGTTGGAATCCAGCTCTGCTCTTCCTTCGCTAGTAATTCATTTGATTGTGGCATTGCTCAGTGTTCCCACCTATAAAATGTGATGACGTCCCCCTGAAAGAGTCGTCATTACAATAAAACGAGAATGCATGTAGAATCTAGAACATGTCTGAAGCATAGTCAACACGCAATACATTTTTATGTTTGATGAAGGTGAAATAGAGGAGGGATTTAGAGAAAGCAACAAAGAGAGGGAATAGTTTTCAGGGAGGGTGAAGGAGGGGTTTTTTTCGAGCCTCATCATTCATTACCTGCAGCCCCCTTTTCGCCTTTCTCTCCTTTCCTGCCGTCTCTCCCATCTCGTCCTGGAAGGCCGATCCGACCGTGGGGTCCAGGGGAGCCACTTGCTCCAGGAGGGCCAGGAGGTCCAGGTAAGCCAGGGATGCTACAGATATATCTTGGGGCGTAGCTCTCTCCTTTGAACTGATTACCTCGAGGTTGTCCACTTACACAAATGGCAAAACTTGTAACATAGAGCAAGACAAACATCTTTGACTCTGCAAGAAAAACACACAGACATAAAGGCACCCTCTCAGGTGGAACTTTGGATGTAATGGAACATGAGAATGGGTATTTGCAATATGTCACTTCAGTGCTCAACTTCTCATGACTATAAAAACACACTGTTCATCCTCATAATTCCATTAGAAACTATCAACTCATTACTAATAGAGAATTCTCAGTGTACCACGCAGGGTTGGTGGAGATAAAGGATTGATTTAAAAATTTCAAAATAGCCCTAGCTTGTTTGGCTCAGTGGATAGAGCCTTGGCCTAAAGACTGAAGGGTCCCACATTTGATTCTGGTCAAGGACACGTATCTTGGGTCAGGGCACATGTGGGAGGCAACCAAATGATGTGTCTCTCTCAGATGGATGTTTCTCTCGGTCTCTCCCCCTCACTTCTACTCTCTCTGAAAATCAATGGAAAAATATCCGCAGGTAAGGATTAACATAAAAATAAAATAAACTACCCTCCATAAAGGAAAGGGAAAATTTGCTTAAAAAATTAAAAAATATATAAAAAATAAAAATTTCAAAATAAATCCCTTTGTTGCATATTTTCTGCAGGGATCAATGATAGACTTTGCTAAATAATGATTTCTTTTTGCCAAAGTAATGCGTTTTTTTTGAAAATTAGAGATAAAATTAGATATTATTAAATGAATAATATAAACATGAATGTTATTCTCACCACCCAAAGGTAATTATTTAGATTTTGATATTGGTATCCTGCCAGTCTTTTTTTCTAAGCCATAGAGAAAAGTGATATCATATCATTCCTGCAATTCTTCAACTTTTTCCACTTAACAATTTATCACAAGCATCTTCCCATGTGAAAAATTATTTATAACATTAAATAAATTGTTGGATTGGTCTCTATTACCCTTTATGTACAGAATTCCCCATTAAAAATGTTTGTTTCCAGGTTTCTGCCAATGTAAACACAATGCTAGGATCCTTATATAGAATCTTTGCATGCATCCCTAGTTGTTTTCTTAATATTTCTGGGCTTTGTAAAGCAAGAGAAAGAAAGTGTTCTTTTCAGGAAAACCATGTTTTTCACCAAATAATCACGTGTAATGCCAATTAGTGTTAATTTGAATACTCTGCCTGTTCAGAGGGGGTCTCAAACTTTAATTTAAAATCTGCAGGCTATGATGCCATGGTGTCCCATTTAAGCTGGCAGCAAGCACAATTAAAGACACAATTAAAGAGCCAAGTGAAATCAAAGCATGCCTAGTGCCACATGCTCAGAGTGGAACAGGCAATAGGTCTGTAGCTATGATCAGATAGAACTTGGTTTTGCCCTCCATAAGCCTGGCAGCTGAGAATGATGGATCATTTATGATCATGAAATTTGGCATATGGGCTGAAGGGTGGGTGGTGCAGGCTGGGGACACCTGATTTGCTAGGCTAAATGGCCTTTAGCATCAGCAGTGTCTTGGATGGGAGAATGTATGCATGCGGGGCCTCATGAATAAATAGTTTTTAGATAGTTGGACCTCTCCTTTAATAGAAAATCTGTACAATGCTTGATATAGATGCCTAATATATACTTACACAAAGGAAAACATTATACAATGTGAGAAAAGCAATCAGATAAAGTTCCTTTGTTATTTTTTGATTGTGGCATTGGAAAATTAACCAGGCACACTATACCATTTTTATGGTACCCATGAGGAAATTGCAACATCTTGGAATCAGACCCAGAAATTTGCCAGAGCATAGGAATGACAAACGGAGAAAAACAGCGTGCACATATGGTTTGGAACAGATCTGATTCCTAGAAATCTTATTAGTGAAAAACTGAAGCAACGTGTCCAAATATAGGCTCTGTATCCTTCACCAAATCTCCATGTTACCAGTGGGCCCGCCCTCCCAGACTCAAGGAGAACATCTTTGCCATGTTCTGTCTGCTTGACTGGTCACATGGCACAAATTCAAAATTACTGATCTTGTGGCTAAGCTGGGATTAAGGCATTTTCTGAAAAGCCTAGCAGATCTGATAAAAATACAGCCTTTTCAAATGCGCCTCAGATGAAGGAAATGAAAAGGGCCTTCTAACCACACCCCCTGCCACAATTAAAACAAGATGCAATAATTACATTGCTAGTTCTTCTTTCTTCTAAAAAACTGATCAGAGGAGGCTTTGGGAAGGGATTTGAAAAGATGCTTATACAAGACAGTCATAAAAAGGCTTTCCATCAGACATCCGGTGGGGGGATTCTGTAGTTCAGGCCAGGAGCTGCTTCTAAGAGGAACTTGACATTATCTAGAGAAAGTTGCTCTGGGCAATGGCATCTCAGACACTCTGAGGAAGAGGCTGAAAACACAAGTTAGGGGCCAGTCTGTGAAGACATCTGTGGTAAAGGTCTCAGTTATGGTGGATAGAGAAAGCAGACATTCTAGATGTACTTGAAAGAAAGGGTATTACTATTTCCAACAGCCACGCCACAAGGTGCTCAAAGGAGGAGTGAATTGAAACAATGGAAACAAATGCATTTATAGAACAAATGGTTTGCTTTCACTGACAAGTCATTGGAATATTTTCTGGACAGTAGTCTAAATGCTGGAAGCATCCTCAGCTAGATGTTTTGAAAGGCACTCAAAATGATTATCCATCAACAGTCCTCAACAGAATTGAGGAACAATGGGTTGTGGTGCCTGATATGTGATAACGGTCTGGTTGTGAGTGGCCAGTCAAGTCTTGGAACTCAGTACCTCAGGATGATAAAGGGGTGTGGATTATAATGGGAAAGGACAGTGGCATCACCCTGTAATGGTTCTTTACTTCACTTAAAAGTCAAAAGTCTCATGGAAGATGATCTACAATGCCCTCCTTGGCTGGGCACCAAGCCTCCTTCTTCCCTGAATTCACCCTCTATTCTTCTTTCCACTTTCTCAGCTCTAGTCACATTGAATATCTTGGTGTTCCTCAAAGACACTAGGAATGTTCTGCCTTAGGGTCTATACACTATCCTTTCTCTCTTTCCAGAACTCTGTTCAGGCATGTCTCACTCTCTCATATCCTTCTTCCAGTTTTTGCTGAAACACCACCCTCTCATGAAAGCCAACTCTTACCAACTTATTGAACATTGAAACATGATACTCCCTGATCTTCCCTCATTCTGCTGATTTTTTTGTATGATATTTATCACCCTCTAACTCCCTAGATTATTCTTATCTCTATTGTTCTTTTTTATATTATACTAGAGGCCCGGCGCATGAAAATTCATGCCCTGGGGGGGGGGGGGGAGGTGTCCTTCAGTCCAGCCTGCTCCCTCTCACAGTCTGGGAGCTCTCAGGGGAGGCAACCGGCCGATCAGGGGAAGGCGCCGCCCCCATCACCCAGCTGCAGCTGCTGCCTCTGGCCTCCCTCTGTGGGATGCGACCAGGCTGATCAGGGGAAGGCGTCAGCTGCCTGCCCTCCTTGGTCCTTGCAGCCAATGCAGCTTTGTCCAGAAGGACATCCAGAAGACGTTTGGTCTATCTGATCTAATTATCATATTACTCTTTTATTAGTGTAGACATCTTTTTTCTTCTAGAATGTAAGCTCTGTGAGGGCAGGATCTTTGAGTCATTGATGTCTCCAACCATTTAGAACAGTGTTTGGCATAAACCTCAGCTCAGGCTGGGGGCAGAGGAGAAGACTAGAGACCCAGTGCACTAAATTTGTGCACTCTGGGCTGGGGGGGGGAGTTCCCTCAGCCCAGCCTGAAAACTCTCACAGTCCAAGAGCCCTCAGGGGATGTCCAACTGATGGCTTAGGCCTGTGGGGAGCAGGCCTAAGCTGGTAGTCGGACATCCTTAGCACTGCCGTGAGCCCAGTTTCTGGCTGAGCAGCGCTCCCCCTGTGGGAGAGCACTCACTACCAGGGGGCCGCTCTTGTGTTGAGCGTCAGTGTGCATCATAGAGACTGGTCAATCTGCCATTTGGTCGATTTGAATATTAGGATAATGCAAAGAATATCTCTGTATATTTATATCTTTTGTACATGGTTTATGGCAGGGGCAGTTAAAGCTTTTCCCAGTTTGCCTTTTTATTTTGTTTATGTATTTTTAAAAATACTTTTTTTCATGAAAACACATTTTTGAGGTTCAATTTATTGTGTTTAAAAGACTTTCTTTATTTCAAGATAACAAAGAGAATCCTCCCCTTTTCTCTCAGTTCTTTTATTGTTCCATTTGTTCACATTTAACATTTGACCCATCAGAATTTTTCTGACAAAATGTGTAAGATAGGGATCCAATTTTAGATTTCAACAACTTGAAAATGAAATGTATTTTAATAAACACTGCCTTTATAATTATTCAAAGTGCGTGTATACTTTTTTGGGGGATACTCTATATTAAATAATTATCCTTCACCCAATGCCCCACTGGTTTGTAATGAATTGGTTATTTTGGCTGGGAATGACCTATGTGTGTTATGGCTTTATAAAGATTACAATATTTTTAAAAAGCTTTATTGAGATTTAATTTACACAGCATAAAATTAACCAACTTAAAGTATATAGCTCAATGTACATTGCAGCCTAATTTTTGAACATTTTCAAGACCTCAAAAAGAATCCTTATACACATTAGCAGTCACTTCTCATACAAAATGGTTTGAAGGATTGTATTGAATTATGCAAATTTATAGAATATGGGCTAACATGTATTTTCCCCACCATTATGCTTCTTTGGAGTTAGAATTAAAGCTCTGGAGATATTGGTATTCTTGAACAGATCTGTCCTTGATGTGAATTGTAAATGACCATCTATTCTATATTTCTGTAGGGATTACAAAATAACAAGTTTTTAGATTTCAAACACATACTGAAAAAAATTACTTTGTGGAACTGTAGATTTAAGAACCTTCATGTTGATGTGTGTTTTGAATCTGTAAGGCAGGAATGTAGTATACAGTATTTTGTAAGTATATTTTTAGTGATGGAATCCTTTAGTCTTGCTAAACTAGCCATGGAAAACACTTGGAGAAATACTGAATAATTCAGTGTAAAAATTGAACTTCTAGAAAATGTATGCACAGATTGAGATCCCTTTGTAAATAGTATTTTTCCCTTTATTTAAAAAATAAAACAAATCCATGCAGATACAGTCAACCCATATTTGACAAGAGAGCCAAGAATACTCCATGGGAAAAGAGTAGTCTCTTCAGTAAATAGTGGTGGGCAAGCAATATTCACATGCAGAAGAATGAAATTGGACCACCACTAAAAGATTAACTAGAAAGGGATTAAAAACTTAAATGTAAGACCTCAAACTGTAAAACCTATAGATGAAAACAGAAAAAAAAATCATTGACATCGGTTTTGGCAACAATTTCTTTTTAATATGGCATGAAAAACAGCCACCAAAGCAAAAATAAACAAGTGGGACTACAGCATACTAAAAGGTTCCTGCACAGCAAAAGACACAATCAACAAAATGAAAAGGGAACATATATAATGGGAGAAAATGTTTGCAAACCATGTATCCGGCAGGGCATTAATATCCAAACTATATAAGGAACTCATATAACTCGATAGCAAAAAAACCCAAATAATCTGATGGAAAGTGGGCAAAAGATCTGAATAGACATCGTCCCAAATTAGATATACAAACTGCCAACAAGCACATGAAAAGATGCTCAACATCACTAATTATCAGGGAAATGCAGATAAAAAACACAGTGTGATAGAACCTCACACCTATCAGAATGGGTATTATCAAAAAGAGGTAAGGAGTGTTGGTGAGGCTGTGGAGACACGGGAACCCTTGTGCGGCCACTATGGAAAACAGTATAACAACTCAAAAACAACTCAAAACATTAAAAATAGAACCACCACATGATCCAGCCATTCCACTTCTGGTTATATGTCCAAAGGAAATGAAAACAAAATATTGAAGAGATATCTGTACTTCCATGTTCATAGCAGCAGTATTCACAATAGCCCAGATGTGGAAACAACCTAAGTGTCAATTGACAGATGAATGGATAAAGAAAATGTGGTGTATACATACAGAGGAATACTAGTCAGCCATAAAAAGAAGGAAATCCTGTCATCTGTGACAAAATGAAACTTGAAAGCATTATACTAAGTGAAATGAATCAGACAGAAAGACAAATACTGTATGATATCACTTATATGTGGAATCTAAAAAGTTGAACTCATAAACACAGAGAGTAAAATGGTGGTTTTCAGGGGCTGGAGAGTGGGAGGAAGGGGGAGATAGTGGTCAAATGGTCAAACTTCCAGTTATAAGATGAATCTGTTTTGGGGATCTAATGTACATCATGGTGTCTATAATTAACAATACTGTAGTATATACTTGAAAATTACTAAGAGAGTAAATCTGAAATGTTGTCACTATATATACAAAATGATAATTAGGGGGGTGGATGAAAGTGTTAATTAATTTGATTGTGGTAATCATTTCACAAGAACCAGGATTATAAATCCACACATGACTGTGTATCAAATCTTCACATTGTACCCCTTACACTTACAAATGTTATATGTCAATTATATCGCCGTGAAACTGGAAAAAAAACCCTGTAGTTGTGAGAAATGTACAGTGGTGCAGCTGCTATGCAAAATAGTATGACAATTCCTCCAAAAATTTCACACAGAATTACCGTAACATCCAGAAATTCCACTTCTGGGTGTTTACCCAAAAGAAGTGAAAACCGGGACTCAAAAAAGATATTTGAACACCCATGTTCACAGCAGCGTTATTCACAACAGCCAAAAGCTGAAGCAATCCAAGTGTCTATCAACAAATGAATGGACAAACAAAATATGGTACATGCATGCAATGGGATATTACTCCACCTTCAAAAGGAACAAAATTTTCACACAAACTACAACACGGAAGAATCTTTTTTAAATTGAATGTATTGAGGTGACACCAGTTAACAAAATTATACAGGTTTCAGGTGTACAGTTCTACAACACATCATCTGTACACTATATTGTGTGTTTGCCACCCCAAGACAAGTCTCTGTCCATCACCATTTATCCCCCTTATATCCTCTTCCACTGGCTCCTACCTCCCTTCTCCCCCCAGCAATCACCACACTGTTGTCCCTGTCCATTAGCTCTTTTTCTTCTTTTCTCCTTTTGGCTCAATCCCTTCAGCCACTCTCAGCTTCCCCCCCTCTCCACCCCATGACAGCTGTCAGCCTGCTCTATCTATGAGTCTGTCTCTATTTTGCAGAAGAATCTTGAAGACCTTATGCTCAGACAAATGTTGTATGTTCCTACCTACATGACGTAACTAGAACAGTCAAAACTGCAGAGACAGACAGTGGAATAACAATTGCCAAGTGCTGAGGGGAGGAGGAAGAGAGGAGTTAGTGTTTAACGAGCACAGAGTGTTAGTTGGGGAAGATGGAAAGTTCTGGAGATGGATGGTGGTGTGATAGTTGCGCAGTACTGTGATGTACTTAATGCCACAGACCTGCATGCTTAAAATGGTAAATTTTATGTTATGTAGACTTTACCATAATTAAAAATAATAAAAAATATTGAAATGGAGAAAACATAGTGGTTTTCTTATTACTCTGCTAGGTGTTTTAGAGACAACATATTCATAACCCCACACAACTTTTATTTTACAAACAAGAACATTGAGACTGAGGGCTCAGGCCCACACAGCCATAAAAATGGCTCAGGCAGGACTCGAACCGAGCTCTTTTTGTTTCCAAACACTTGAGTTCTCCCCTACATATTGTGAGGTGAACTGTAACATTGCTTCATGACAAAGGGCTGGACTTGATTATTAAGTCAAGTTGAAAATGTGTTTTGCCTGGAAATCATTAGGAAGGGGATAGGTAACCAGGGCTGCCAAAATGAGACATATCCTTGGCCTACAGGGGAGATTTCACAACAGCAGGCTTTTCCTTCTCTAGCTGCACGAGGACTGGCCCTGTGAGTGAGACAGGATGGGACCTTAGGTGTTCGTGACTTCTGTTCTATGGTTCCTCATCTCTTACTGTAAGACTCCAGTTTTCCTCCCCAGAACTTCTCCTTCCATTGGCCATGCATCACCTTCCCTTGTCCTGTCACCAAGTCTCCTATAAGACCACACACCACACTGTTATGGATATTTTTGTTGTTGCTGTTAATCTTCCCCCAAGGTTATTTTTTCCATTTTTTAGAGAGGGTGGAAAGGAGGGGGAGAGGCACAGAGAGAGAAACATCTATGTGAGAAAGACACATCGATTGGTTGCCTCTTGCATGCACCTCAACCAGGGCCAGGGAGGTATGTGCCCTTGACTGAGAATCAAACCTGAGACCCTTCAGTCCTCATAGCCAATGCTCTAACCACTGAGAAAAACTGGCTACGGTTGTTATGGCTATTTACTTGCTTTTTCTCCACCAACATATAAACTCTGTATCACCAACATTTAAGACAAAGACTGGTCTATAATAGAGGCTCAACTAAGATTGAAAGAAGAAAAATATTCATTCATCTATATTTATTTTTATCTACAGCTTTGGCTGCCTTATGTAAAGTGCTATGATGGCACAACAGTGATAAATATTGACATCTGTCAAACATATTGTAATGTTAAGTCCATATCGTCTTCCCAAAGACCCTTTTTGTGGTAGGTTGGACAGGGAGTGGATGTCCAGAGAAGTCAGGTAACTTCTTCATGGCAACCACACCAGTGTCAGACCAGAGATTTGACCCAAGTCTTCAGTTCTGTGGAGGCCTCTTAGAGAGCTATCTGCTTAATACACTCAAAAGCTACCATAATGATATGGGCATCGTACCAACATTTGCCAAAATTCTCAAAGAAAGAGTAAACACCATACCTTGCTCTGGGATAGTGGGTTGCTCCAGGATTCTAAATCCACAAGAGACCGAGGATCTTTCATGAGAGCTCAGCGAGAAACTTGCTTTGGTACCAGAAAGAAAAACAGATCCAAGTTCTCAGAGATTTCCAAATAGTTGTGCTAAAAATAATGTTCTCCTTTAGTCCCAAAGAGTCGGAGGCCCTGGAAGTCATTCATCAAGTGAGGCACAAGCAGGGGTTGGTTAAAACTACGGTTTTGTTTTGACATAAACCTTATGAGCCTGCTTTTGTTGACAAAGTTTACAGGCGCCTCCATCTCGGTGTGGAATGGCCTCTTTTCCAGATTTGTTTACTTAATTTTTCCCCTCTTCATTTGTTTTCCACTGAGGGGATGTTTCAGGGAAAAAAAGAAATTACTCACTGACTGGAAATTAGTTAACTTAGAAAAAAGAGTCACTTTCTATTTGAGAATTTTTAAGGTAGAGCATTCAGATTCTGGACATGGGATGGTGTCTCAGGGAACAACAAGGAGATTTGTCCCTGTTCTGATAAACATGGCAGAAAAATGGCCCCTCATTCTACATGCTGCAAAATGCAACAGAGTTATGAGTAGGGCACTGATGTTTTCTTTGTTTTCTGATAAATGGACAAATAATTGGGTATTCTTAGCAGACTAATATGTCTTTGTTCTTGTAGAGAACTGACAGTAACAACTCCATGGGCAGAATGGTTCTTCAGATCCTATGACCACTTGTCTTTGATGCAATCAATTTCTTTGTTTCCTTCTGATAGGTACTTATATCTCCTTAGCAACAGCACTATGTAATCCATGATGTCATTTATGGAAATGAAGTGACTGAAAAATCTTGTTTCCATCTTACTTTCTCCATCATTCTTCTCAAGCAACTGCAAACTCTACTAGTTAGGGAAGTGCACTCTGACCACGAATTTGACCAAGAAGCTAGTGGACTTTGCATTCCCATAAGCTTCATTTTGCCTTTGCTATCCACCTTCCCATCCTGAGGAAATTGTCTTTTGAATTTGTTGGCCGTTCAAAATTTGAGTGCCATCATAAGGTGGTAAAAGCATAAACAAAGAAGTGAGGCACAGATTTTCACTAAATTAGTGTAAGACCTTTTTTATTTCTTAATTAAATAAAATTGACATTGTAACATCATATAAGTTGAAGCTGTACAGAGTACCACCTTGAAAAAATTTAGATATTGTAATATGATTGCCATTGTAGCATTTTTACCACATTTCACAATTAGAGTACAATATTATTATCTATATTCATTATACTGTGCATTAGGTCCCTATGGCTAATCACTACTCATTACAAGTTAGTACCCTTAAACACCATCCACCTTATCCTTGTGTCCTCATCCCATGGTAAGCTACAGAGTAGGACCTTAATCTCTGCTTTTTTTCCTTCTCATTCTCAAAATAAAACTGATTGTTTTTTATTACTTCTAGGTTTCCACACAATTCTTAATAGTCTCTAACAAAGTGCTTGTGCCAGATAGGATAGAATTTAAGAAAACGGTTTCAGCCACTTCTATGCATATAGTCATAGAAGTCTTCTGGAAGGAGATTTTTGTTGTTATTGAGAGAAGTCACACCAATGGCTTTTCATGCTGTACATCAAAGGAGGAACTTGGGAGTGGCTCCGTGAAGGTTCTTCCTCTCAGGTACCCTTGGCTAGAGAGGGGCTGAGATTATTTGCTTAAAGAATCTAGGACCTTTGGAAAGAAAGAAAGCAGGGTACAACTTTTTCTCCCCATGATGTAAATGTAGGGAAATTAGTAATAGACAGTAGGATTAGCCTGTTTCAAAGCCTACTGTGAAGTAAAACACTATAGAGCACAGGATGGAACTGACCAGGAGGTAAAGAGACCTAAAGGAATCTGGAACGGCCAGCTTGGGTACATATATGAATGAGGCTGAAACGAACTGCTTTCAGTTCTTCTGTCATAGCAGCTATCCTTTGCAGGATGGTTGAACACATGATGGTGAATTGAAAGTCATTACATTAGTAGTGGGGTAATAAGGGATTAATCCTGGGGTCATTGAGAGCATCCCCTAGCAATGGACAAGCATCTACTGGGTTGTGCATGAGTAGCGTCACCATTTGGTGGCAGCTAAAGCAACAGGGAGAATAGGCAATGAAAGGTTTTGCTTTCCACTTTCTACCTGAAAAGCCTCTACTGACCCTGGAAGTATGTTCAACCAGAGAGAGCCAGCATTTAAAGATCTGGGGCACACAGCAGGCATGGCAGCCAGGAGAGAACCATGAAAAGAGCACCTATTAAGTAAAAGTACTTTGGTCATGTTTTTCTAATTCTCCTACTCCTTGATCTGACTATAGACATGCCTCAAGTGGAAGGAGGGGTAGGATTGGGGGAAGATTGAAAAAGAATAGCATATCCTGAGCTAAAGAAGTACAAAGGAAACACGCTTTATATTGAATGTAAAATTGAAGTTTTGACTTATATTTATCTTTTTTAATATCTGAAAATAAGTCACAATTGACTAGTAAATGGTTCGTGTAACTGAAAATAACCAGAAAGGTAAGGAATTTGCCTGAGATGTCATGAAAGGGCAGGCAAGAAAGACCCAACAGAATTTGACTAGAAGAATTGATAGGAGAAAAATGAGGTTGTTTCTTATTTATATCCTATTAAGGACAGATGAGACACCATTTGTAAATTCAGTAAACTCTGGAGAGTGTTCTAATGTAAAATAAAGGGTGTTTTGAGAGTGTTTAGTGGAGAGACTTAGTTGAGACTATGATTCGAGTTTGCCTAAAGAAAGGACATCTGACCTGAAATAGGAAAACAGGAGTAGGCATTAACCAGGAAGAGGGGTGGGAAAACACCTTCAGGCTGAGGAAATGCCATATGCAAAGGCCCTTTGGTAGAATGATTTTGAAAGAAGGTCTTTCATTGAAAGGAGCAAAAGAGAACATGTGCCTGAAAGGAAGATGTTCCTGAACCAGGCAGGCAAAACTCTTCTGGCCATGGGAGGTTCTGATTTTGATCCTGTGGGTAGTAGTGATACCACTGTAATTAAATAACTTATTAATTAATTAACAGGAAAGGAGCAAAGGAAAGGCCAAATAATATAGGCAGAAAGCTGTAGTTTAACACTCCTCAGGTCTGTCCCTTGAAGGTCCTGGGGGAAGAGACTGGACAAAGAAAGAACAGACACATGCCCAGAAAAGTCTAAGTGATGTAAAGAGGGTGCTTGTCTGTCAGTCATACCTGGGAATAGGTCATTGGTCAGAATAGGCATAGCCACTGCAAGGGTGTGAAATTGGAGACACATAAGTTTCTAAACAAATGGAGTTCCCTTTCTTGGCCTTCTTGATCTCTTGGGACATTTGTTGCAGGAGGTGTACTAATGGATTACAACTAGCCTGGTGCTCTGCTGGACTCAGCTTTACCATGGAATGGAAATTCTGGACACTGGCTTCACTTTCAGCTCTGCTGTATCCCAGCTGCACCTTTTCTAGGACTGGCTTAAGTGAAATGGGCCTTTATAAACGGAGGAACATAACTACAGAAATAAAAATCACTCAGTCTCCCATGCCAGTCTAAGAAAATTCTTTTCCTCTAGTTATTGTAAGAACCCCATTCCCACTAACAACAGAGAGATTCCACCTGTGCAACTCTTCAATAACAGAAGGACCCTCTGAAAGGCTGTGAGTGGGACGTTATGGGTCATATTGTCATCTCCCCCTCAACCCTAGTTCGCTTACAATAATGAAGATGATATAAGTAGAGGTGATACATGTTTCCACTTTCCTGGCTTTTCAAGGTGAGTTCAATAAGATATAAAGGCTCAGTTTGGTTTCTAAACAGAATCTGCTTTCATTGTAGGGCAAGATGTGAGTCCTTGTGAGAAAAGTAGTTGGTGTATTTTAAAAAAAAGAAAATTCACCCATTCATCACATGAACAAATGTCATATTTCCCTACTATGTGCCAGATCCTGCCTAGGCCCTGGAGATAAAGAGTTCAAAGAGGAAGACAGTCTCCCCAGGCACCTGGGGCTCCCATGCCAGGGGGATTTTACATCCTTAGGGAAAGAGGAAACCTCAGAGTCATCAGCCTGATTTTCCATTCTGTAGATGGGAAAACAGATTCCAGTGAGAATTATTTGCCCAAAGGCCACTTTTATAAACAACACCATAATTAGATATTGGGTCTCTTCTATTATTTCCAAGACTAGAGGCCCGGGGCATGAAAATTCATGCACTGGAGGCGGGGTTCCTCAGTCTGGCCTGCCCCCCTCTCACAGTCTGGGAGCCTTCAGGGGCAGGAGGCGACCCGGCAATCAGGGGAAGGCAATGCCCCCATCACACTTCTGCTGCTGCCACTGCCAGCAGCGCAAGCCTTGGCCGGCCCGGGTTACCTGAGCCTTGGGCGGCCCTGGGCAGTTGGGCAGCTGACATCTGAGGCTTGCCTTCACCTTGGGCCTGCCCTGAGCGGCTGGGCAGCTGACATCCAAGGCTTGCCTATGCCCCAGGCATTGGCCGGGCAGTCGATATCCGAGGCTTGCCTGCACCTTGGACCAGCCCTGGGCAGCTGGGGGACTGAGGGTGGGTCCGGCCGCACCTTGTGCCTGCCACCCCCCTGGCTGGGCTGATAGGACTGGGGAACTCCGGCGGGACTGAGAGGACTGGGTGCCACCATCTTGTGGCTATGGGCACCACCATCTTTGTGATGGTGTGATGGTTAATTTGCATATTTCTTCTTTATTAGATAGTATTCCTCTGCATAGCAGAGCCTCTCACAAGACCTGATTCCTAACTTCACATGGAGAAGACACTACACTATTTTTTTTAAAGACAAAAATATCCATTATTGTGGATAATTGGGAATTAACAGTATAGTATTATCCCAGAGCATGATACTTGATCCTCATCTTTGTGCCCAAAACATCACTTCTAATATTGTAACTCATAAGAAAAATTTTAAAAATTACAAACATATAGCCCTAACTGGTTTGGCTCAATGGATAGAGCGTCGGCCTGCGGACTGAAGGGTCCCAGGTTCAATTCTGGTCAAGGGCATGTACCTTGGTT